ACAAGCATCACTGATGAACTATAGAATCCTAACTCTTATGAAAGTAGATTCTGTATATTATGTGTATAAAAATAATTTATAAGTGGGGGTTTGAGATAAATGGATGTGTTAAAAAAAAGAATTAAAGAAGAAATGGGGAGAAAAATTAATGGTGTGAGCCGATAAGGCCGAGAAAGGGAGAGTTTTTGCTACAGTACTTTTTTCGGCGAGTTTGCGTTTTTCGCTCTGGCTTGCGGTGGCTTTCATAGTGCCGAGGTTGGAGTTCTTGTTTTTATGCTTTGTCTCTTAGATCTATTTGTTCTCTAACTCTAGGTTTCAATCAAAGGTTTTTCATACGAGTGGTTTCAGATCCGTGGCCCTGGGCTTGTGGTTTCGGTGGTTTGGCTTTGTTTAGGTCTTCGATGGTGGTTGAGGACGGTTTGGTTTCAATTAGACTTCGCTTGGTCTTCGTTTCGTTGGAGCTCGCCTTCTCTACCTTTGTCGGCTCATATCTGGACTTTGTTTGTTCGGAGTTGTTCTTCGTAGGAGGCCTGTGTTCGGAGTTTGGCTTTGATTGGGTCCTGAGTCTTCTCGCGATCTTGTCTCTGTTTATCCTCCTTCTCGTGGTATGGTGATGAAACCTTTTCCTTTGTTGTTCTTTGGTTGGTGTTGTTTATATGAATTGCTTGCTTCAAGTGTTTGGACTTTTGGTTCATTTCTCCTTGTCGTCGGCTCCTTTGTGTATTTTTCTTGTGGGTTTCAATTCTTCCGGTGAAGTATAGGGATTGTGGCATTGGTGTTGGTGCTTCGGTTTGTTTAGAAAGTGGTTCTTTGTTCCGGTTCATGGGCAATATCGTTTAATGGTCTTCGAGTTGGGCTTTGGTGGAATGATAGGCGTGGTTTGTCCTCTGATGCGGCTTCTCCGTTCATGAACGCGCCTCCTCTTAGCGTCCTTCAACTTTTGATCTTTTGTGCTCGTGATATCCAGTATCTGTGGGTACTTTCTTTGATGAAGAGTCTTCACTTCAAGCTTTGTTGTCTACGGTTTTTGAAGAGGGGAGCGGTCTCGATGCTCAGTTTAGACTATTTGGGATGCTATCGCGCCTTCATTCTCTGTTGCTTTCGTCGCTTGGAAGAAATTTATTCTTGATTGCTCTCCTTGTTGTGGTCCCTTTTATTTTGCTCATGTTGTGTCTGCTTGCGGTGGTGTCTTCTCTGCTCAGCTTCAGTGGTGTGTCTTTTGGACTTTTGGCTTCTCGGACTCGCGCCCTTTGGCTTGTCTTTCTGGTAGTCTGGTTTGGTCTCTGTCCATCCACCATTTCCTTGCCTTTGGGTAATGTTTGTGGCTGAACATGTGTTAATTCCCATTGTTAGTAGTCTTAGCGGTGAAGTTCTAGCCTAGATAGTTTGTATTGAATTTCATGGTTCCTTTGATATCCCTTGTATGGGCTTTATATATGGGAATTTCAAGTTTGTCCGTCGGCTTAACCTCTGGTTCCGGCATTGTAATATTTTCGATCGTACCAAATTT